ACCGGAATTTCTGTGTGTTTCCGGCTTTCGCGTCCTTCACACTCTCTAAGGTACATTGCAGCTGCAGAAGGCAGCTTGTTCATTTACACAAATCTACATACTTTCCAGTATGTGCATGTACGCGTACATAGAGCATCATAACCTCACTGCCGCAACGAGCGGTGTCATTTGGTGAGTGTTGTCTCTGCGTCGGTGATTTATGATTACAGCACACCCATGGCAGAAACATATTTTTGTATATATGTATATATGTTCTTACATTAATTTTATTTACATACATACACATACACATACACATACACACACTCGTTTGTGTGCCCAATTGAGTTCGGAAGCACTTGAAAAAATTGTCTTTGCGCAAAAGTTGCCACAAACATTTTCTTAATTGTTTCACTTTATGAGTACTTGATGTGGGAGCTATAAGTACAAAATACGCATGCACACATACATACACGTATGTATGGAAGAATATAGTCTTTGTCGGCATTCTGCGCTGCTGCTGTTGCTGCTGCAGCTGACATTGTCGTAATCAGAGACGTAAAAACATTCGTACATGTATGTATGTATGTGTGCGACGTCAACCACTTAAAATTTGGGAGGAAAACTGCTTGAGGTCGACCAGCCCCGAAACCATGATAGAAATATTGACATAAGGAGGAGTGGCAATGGGAGAATGGTTTGCTCGTAAGTTGGTTGCAGGGCGGAGGCAGCTTAGAAAATTTCACTTCTCACTGCCTGAGAGCTACTTAAAGCGCCACCTTTTCATTACCTTCCCCACCTTCCCCATTCATGTGATCTAGTACCCAAGAGGTATTACATAATTTCACAAACTTGGATCTTGTGTTGACATATTTAACCTTCAGTAAATAATCCCTTTTGGGAACACTGTTTGAAGTTGTATTGGATATTGAGGCTGGCAAGAAGAACTCCGCTTGCCTCACATTTGGATCCATCAGTATAGATTTGGATACCTTCAGTGTTTCCGATGGCCTAAGCTTTCGTTGAGTCTTTCTTGCTAGGGAATGAGTAGGTCACTGCACCTGACAGAAGGTTTCCCCTTCCCTATCTAGGATATTTAAGCGACTAGCTGTTAGAACTGCTTCCCAAGTTCGGTTGTTTGAAGATAGCGAGATCATTGGCATAGCACACCATCATTAAGTTTTCCGCACAGTTGAATAAATTGGTTTATCAGTGTAACCCACAGCAGTGGAGATCCTATTGTGGAGTGCCACATGTGATTTCGTGATTAAATGCTATGGCTGAACATAAATGTCTAAAATAAATTATTACGGTCCTCCTTTATATCAATAGTTTATTTATAGATATTTAAATTATTCCAACAACCTCGTACAGAGCGATATGAAATGATTTAACCTTAACGTATGCATGAGTTATTTGTTGTTTGGACCATTCAACCCCCATCCTTTCCATGCTTTTTCATGTAAAACTTCTGCAGCCGATCGAGGATCATAGAAAAGCGTACAAGGAAATTTAAGCAAGGCGTAGCGTGGCAAGGCATGGACTGAGTAAGCAATTGAAAAGAGAAGTCATCTCTGGACTATCTTAAACCAAGCAGAAGTCTGGACAACGTCGCCAACAGATGAGTCGGCCTCGAGAGTCTTCGGTTCATGGTGCTTAGCGTCTTGAATACGGTGAATAGCGCAGACGATAGTACGACGATCAGTACGAGTTATACGGTAGCATTGATATAGCGGATGAAGAGATAGCGACTGCACTGGCGACTGGCGCCAAATAGCGAAAAGAAGGAAGGAATGTTTGTTGTTGCTTCGGTCTTAATAGCCTGCATCGCTGTAGGAGAAAAAGATGATGCGTTTGATCTTTAGTGAATGTGCTTAAATCTGAGTTTTTGAAAAACACCTTCGTTAATGCCGAACATAGTGCTGAATAAGTATCTTACTTTTAAGCGTAAACTCCTCTTTACCAACTCTTGAGGGTGCCAGTGAGTGAACACATACTCCTACGTATACTGTTGCGGAGTTGTATATGTGTGTGTATGCACATACTCTTACAAAGAGCAGCACACCACACTATTGTGCGGCTTGGGACTTGCCAACTGCATACTGAAACTACGAAACTTATGATTTATTTGGGTCAAAGTTTTCTGTACTAAAAGTTTTTGAGAGCAATCAGGCGGCGCACAGTGTACTTAACTTGCGAAATGTAAATAAAATTTATACCTAAATATCTTACTAAACACCTTTTATATACAGAAATACATAATATATTATATTACATAATGAGTGATTTAAGAGACCAGCTGTTGGATAAGTAAGGAAGGATATGAGCAGCTGCAATTTGAACGCAGTGAAAGCGGCTAGAGGAAATTATCTACAATACACCCACATATATTATATCAGTTCACTTATTTACCACTTCCTGGACACACTGCAGCAAATAAAATAAAATAAAAAAAAAAAACAATTTGCAATGGCGGGAAGTGGCAGGGAGTAACTTCTGCGTTCTCGCTATCACACTCAGGCAGAAGCTGGAAAAGGCTGCTGTGTCATTATTCAGCGTATGAAAGTTTTAATATTTACTTACGCACAAATTACATATGTTCGTTTGTAAGTATGTATGTAATATGTAAATATTATAGAGTATCTGTGGGTAGCTTTGCATTTGTGTGCTCCGCTTTTCAACGCGTGCACGATTTTAATTTTTAATTGTTTAAATTTAAATACTTTAAGCACTTGATTCTGTGATATTATATTAAAAAAAAAAAAAGAAAACTGCGCTTCTCAGTTGCACATAAAAAATTAATCTATTAGAAAATTATAATAAATAATCCCGTTGTGGTAAGCCAAAGGACAGATATTCAGCAGGCAACGAGCTCGCATTGGCGGCCATATTGCGCACTACCATTCGGATGGCCAGGCTTGGAGTTCTGTTTCGAGTTTTGGTTCGACCAACATCCAAAATTATAGAAAATTAATTCTTCTAACTGCGGTCGCCCTCACACGAGAACGATTATTTGTATATATATGTGTAGAAAGACTAAAAAAAAAATCAGTGAGAGTGAGCTATATATTATAGCAATGCAGTCCCAATCATTTTACCCTTCACGGTGTGATTTATTAACACTCTTAGATGCTTTTTGACAAATTTACTATCCAAATCCTCAAAGCTGAAAAATCGATCGTTAATTTGCTATGAGCAAAAAATATTTAAAAACTGTTTTTTAAGGCTAAAATAGATAAATTCTTAAACTAATTTAACTGTATCCAATAATAAAAAGGATATTGCTTTAAAATATTTCTTGGCAAATTCAACTACAAGGCGCCAAGTTTACAGGTAAAAGTTAACGCGGCATACATGGAGCTTGATGTGATAACCACTGGCTATTGGAAGAAAGGTGTCCGGAAAAATATGTCTGATGAGGTGATTTCCGAAGTAGCAGCTATAACTTCTACCGTCCAAAACTAATTTCGTAATTTTTTCACTATTTCCAAAAAATTTGGATGGTCTGAAACAGTTCCATAAAAACCCAAATAGAAATGCAAGTTAGTTAATTATGTGGCCCTGTGCAAGCGATCAGGAATCTAGCAGACAGCAATCCATAACGGCACACATGAAGCCGGGGTGAGTTTTAGTGGGGAATATTGTGGACATTCCCCCGAGTGGCATAAGTCTTATAGCGTGTATATGTATGCGAGACCTATCCCAACAAAATATAACTGTAGTCTTAAATATGAAGCGAGATCAAATGAAGCTACGCTTTAAGTGCTTGATGCACCGCCACAATTAACGCTTCTGAAGAGAGCCAGCATAGAGTTATCCAGCGTATTTTTTGTTCATCGTTGTTTCCGGTGTTTTCATTTTCCTTTGTCTGTTCCTAGTCTACTTATTATAAAATTATTAAATTAAAAGTGTTCTAATCGGAATACACGGTAACCAGCCTTGCGGACTTATTCATTCAAATTCGAAAATTTCTTGGCCAGCTTTCGATGTGACCCTAAACTTTCATTGGGAAAGCAGAACGAGAGGAAGATAGCCTTCTAAATATTGCTATAAAGTTTTTACACAAGAAAATTGTCATACTCAATCGGTTGCTTTCACTAGATACCTACCATTTGGAAGGCATTTGCATTCTAAATTCGTACCGAATTTTTTCGTAGAGAAAACTGCATGAAAATATGAAACTTACACCGAGCAAGACGAAAAGCTTCGTTAGTATTGGGAAGAACCTCTACGAGCCGTTCGATGTTGAATGAGGCTTAGGGTAGAGCGACTCTTCGACTTAATGAAGGCAAAATCTCCTGGTAAATAAATTACATCCAACGTATTTTGCGCCTCACAAATATTTGGGGCTGGCACTTTCGATAAGAAATGAATTATAAAAAAGTAGAGTTCGCGTTGACCACTTACCTTGAAATGTAAAGCGAAGAAAAACCAAACAAAGAAATACCAAAAATATTTTTTTATACTCATATGTAACCGTCCGATTGGATTAGACATACCCTTTTACTGCAGAAGCAAATTTTTGTTGAAAAAGCAAAACCATGTAAAAACATTCATTCGATTATTTCCTATACACCTTCCTTCGACTTTGTACACACATTCATTGATACATAAATGGGCGATCATATTCGGTACAAAGATTTGATATGAAAATTCCGAATATTTCGAATAAATTTAATTAGGTATTTAACCTTTTCAAGTTGAACTGCAAGAGCATTATCGGCATATGCTGAGAAATTGCATATTTTTGGGCGCTTTAACGAACCTTTACCACCCATCTTTCTGTCTTCAGCCTTTTCTCACTAACTGCGCATACTCAGCTCTAGCGTATGTATGCAAGTATGTTCGTACCTCTTCTGCCAAACTTCGAAAGCTGTTCGTAATTTTGTGCTTTGGGTGATAAAGCTCGACAACTTGCAACCCAAACTTTTAGAAAAGCGAAATTAACGAAAACTTTTCGTTCATTATTTGTGGGCAAAGCTTCAAATTAGAATTACAATAGAATGCTTGTTGTTGTTGTATTAAGTAGTATTTAAATTTATTTTTTTATATATAAATTTTTGACTAAACTAAATCAGCACAAACACATAGCATAGCAAAGTATGTGTGATGCCTTGATCTTTCGTACATTTTTAAATAAATAAATAAATTATTTTAACCTAAACTTATTGCGAAATCAGTAGAGATACTCGTGTGTGTGTATGTGCGTGTGTGTGTGTGACAAGCAGTACAAGTTGTTTTGCTAATGGATTTTACTATATATGTATATGTGTATATGTATATAACTATTTGCCATCACGCTGCATTGCAGCTCACGCAGAGTCTACCAAATGATCTGCTTCCGCCTGTCCATACCAGGAGTATGCAAAAAAGCCCCACCGCTGTCTAGCCCTAAACTTCATTACACTCAAGATACAGCTGATGACAGTCATAGCCGGAGCGCCCTCTGCGGCCAGCATCGTACAGATGCTCGAACTGCCCATCGCTAGTGCGATCCAGGAAGTAGCTGGTAGCGTAACTGCGAATGGAAATGAATTTTGCAATTATAACGTGTTTCTTTGTCGATTACCTGCACTTTTGCCCAGCGTCGAGCTGTACTTACGATCCCAGTTGGCAGAAGATGCTAGCGCCGCCAATTTCGCGCACGCACTCGGTGTTGGCCTCGCACATATAACGCTGCATGCACTTGTCGTCGGCGTTGCGGTAGGTGCGCACGTAGCCTTTCAGCAGGGAGAGACCGGCAACTGTGGCGTCGCTCATCGAGTCGCGTTTGCCCATGGAGCGGGCGGTCAACGAACGATGGGAAAATGATGTCTTCAGCGCATCCAGCAGATTCATCACGATTTGAATGAACTGAGACGTCGAAAGAGCAGCGCAATAACATAATAAACAATAAAGGAAACAACAAAAAAGAAATTAGACTTTTTATAGCAGACAGGCAAGACATGAGTACAATTCTTCAAATACGGCTTGTCAGCGTGTGCATGTGCAGTTAGGGCTATCAAATGGTATTTGCATGCATAAGTTAAGGGCAGTGAACGTGTTAGTCGAGGATGAATTGATTAATTTTTGCAAGAATCGCCAAACTAAATATAAAGAACAAAACACACGTAACACTTGGATGTAATATAAAAAAGTAATGTTATGCAAGCAGTTTTTATATGTGTTTGTATGTATGTATGTATGTATGTATGTATGTATGTATATATGTATATATGTATATATATATACATATGTAAGGTGTTCTGTGTTGTTTTGGTGTGTTGTAAATGCTTTCTTTTTTACATTTTTTATTTGCCGCATCTACTCATGTGTATGTATGTATGTACGTATGTATATGTGAATAAACCATTACTACCTTCACTTATACATATATGTATATGGTATTTATTTAATTAAAAGTTTTAGGTTTTATTATTTTTTATTTGGTATTTTGTATTTTGTATTTGTACTTTACTCTTTGATCAATCAACATGTTCGTTTACCTCGCCAGCTTGTTTCGCCATTGAATTCACTTGATCGGGATCTTTGGTACCAAGCACTGAAGACAGCACAGCGCCTAAGATGTTCTGTTGCAAGCGAGAAACCACACAAAAACCAATAATTCCATACACCATTCAGTTTGAGTTTGAGTTTGAGATAATTTCAGTATTTTATGTAACGATTTGTATAGTACAAAAGCAATAAAAACAAAAAACGATTTTAAAATAGCAAAAAACAAACGAAAAAGAAAAGGATTTTCAATTAGAACAAATTCTACGCATACATACATTCATAAATACAAATCTGGCTATATAATAATCAAAAAAATGCCAAAGAAAAGCCAAAGAAAAGCAGATGAACACTGGAAGGAAGCATTTTTCGTAAAAGTTGTGCTAAGCCCTTGAAAATTGTTTTTGCAATGAGAAAAATTGCTTAATCGGGTTTACTTTCGCTGTGACATCAACTATCTTTTTATTCTAATTGAGGTAATGAAATAAATGAAATCAGCGAATAATGCGAAAATAATTATTTTAATAATAATATTTAATTGAACTGCCGAACACCGAAGGCTTTAAGTGAAAAAGTTTAGTGAATTGGCCCAGAAGTGTCTCGGGCTAATTAGAAAGGGTGTTTTCTTTTGAAGAAATATGGAGATTCCCTTTGCTTAAAGAGCATACCAAACTTTGACATTTTGAGGATGTGCCGGTCTCTACACAATGGTTTTTGGTATGATGTCCCTGAAAAAATGTTTGTTTGTGAAAATCGGTATCGGTGGCCATCTCAGTTTGGCCTCATTCGCGGAAAGTGCGACTGGCTTGATGATCGTTTGGCGTTAGTCCTTGCACGTGTCGGACGGTGTAAGTTCGGAAACCAATATCTTCCGCAAAATCTTTCATAAAAGGAATGGTCACAGCTTTAGTTGTTGCTCGCAGAGCGAATGGACTGATTCGAGTCGATTCCATAATACAGCAGCAAAAATATTATCCATAAGAGAAACTTGGTGGTAAACTGATTCATTATTGTCCAAATTATCGACTTTGCTGTGCGATCGACTGAATATTACTATTATTTTGGTAGTAAATTTGTACGATTCGCAATCGTTGCACCGAAGTAGGTTCGTTCGTAATAAAATGGCAAGCCAAACTGAGTAAGTTGTTGCTTCATTGAAAGTCTCATGTTGGCGAAACACCATTTATTATAAATGTTGCTACCAAAGGGATACTTCAACACAACAGACCCGTCGAATTTCGAATTCTTCACAATTTTATAAAAAATATAACTAAGGTAATAAAAAAGTCGCTGTTTTTTTTTTTAGAGTAATTTGAGGTTTATACGGAAAGCGTAAAAAGTCTTTGGTACCAACATTTCCTTAAATACTCCGCTGACACCGATTCGCTGTGCATTATGTCCTATGGCCCTTTTGGAGTTTAAAAGCAGATTTTGATTCCGTTTGAACTGTAATTTTTCAGTTTCGCACGAGCTCAACACTTTTTTCCTACGGCAGTAACCCTACTTCAGAATTTATTATAAGAAATCGACAATCTTCTGCTGTGCTTGTCTAAAATTTCCCTTGTCTTCCTCTTCGCCTGAAGAATTAACCCTTACCCCTCTGTTAAATTCCTCTTTAATTGAAAAATAAAATTGTTTAAATAGCAAAAGCGTTTGGCAGCTGACCGATTAGTGAAAGCTAAGAAAATATTTACACTAATTGATTAATTTACTTTAGGATTGTATAAGGTGCACTTCAAATTGCTACAAGAATGTCATAAAATTGCAGTTCCTTTAATATGAAATGTATCAGCAATTGCTTACCTGCATTGGTGAGCCGCCGTTGTCAACTTTATCGATGCCATCGCTTGGTGCGCCACCGCCCAAGAGTGTGTTAATGATTTTTAAGCCTTCAGAAAGAATATTAGATTATTAGTTTCTCGATTAAATTCGGTGGAATTGGTACTCACCCATCGATATTACATTTGCCCATGGTGAGCCACCGAAACCAACAGAATTGTCAACGTCATCGGATTTGGAGGGCGCATTTGCTGCGCCATTGAAGAACATCGTTAAAACGGTGGAGAGCATGTTGGACCACGAGAAACCGGTAGGGGTCTCGCTCAACTGATTCACCACATCACCATCGTCCTCAACGTCATCTAGTGCAACTTTCTTTGAGGCATTCGGTTTCACCGCATATTTTCGTGCTGCAGACTCATCTGCCGCTTGGTAAACGGGAGATTGTCGCTGCTGTAATTGTTGGAGGCGCTGGCGTTGGTAAACCTCGTTTTGCGGGAAGGCATAGGATACGAGCAAGCAGTTGGTGGTGACTATTAAGAGCAGCAGGTAAGCGTGTAGTTGACGTTGAGTAGGCATGCTGTAAATAGAAAAATGGTATAAAAATTAATATAATATGTTGTAGCACAGGCATGTGTATGTATGTATGTAACGAACAAAAATGCATATTTCGCTAACCCAAAAGTATGTCGCTTAAGTCTTTTGTTTTATACTGAAAGCGCTTGGCGGCAACAAACTGGTGTGACGCGCATGTTTGTAATATGAATATATTTAAAATTAATTTGTTGCATTTCCGTAAGTGTGTCAAAATCAATATGTTTACAAATCCACCCAACTTAATTAATATGCTGCCACTGTACGACACCAAAGCGTTCCTCAATCGCTTTGCAAAAGAAATCGTGTGGCTTTATTTTTTCCCCAAGCATTAGGTGATTTAAGTCGGCAAAGACGAGTAGCTAAATGAAATTCACTTCCGTTATGTACACAAATAATGCTTTGCCGCTGACCGTTTTCATGTTTAATCACGATCACAATGCCACTGCCCAACATATAATCGTTCGATACGGTATAAAAACAATTAAGATCTTCCAATCGACATTGACATCTGCATAGTCACCTGCCGGTCAGTAGTTTATCCAGCGGGGAAAAACATTTTTGTTTACAGAAAATCTAGAAAAACAAGAAACTCAAGTCAACACATGAAATGAGAAAATAACGGCCTGAACTCATTGCGGCAGCTGCACCGGGATGGCAAAAAACACACATACATATATGTAATGGTCAGCAATGAACGCTTGTCATTCAATTCAGCATGCAACGCGGCAGATTTGATGGGTAAACAAACTGTTGAATGCCACATTTAAGAAATTTCAATTCAATTGTATACAGATCAAACCATCATCCTTTCGCTCAAACTCAATTAGTTTACAGTATCAGTTCTCTTACTGGCAAATTTACCGTTTTCTTGCTTTACGCTGCTCATGAAGAAAAAAATTCCGTTGGAGTTCAAGTTGAAACTTACTTTTCCAACAAGTTTTCATAGTTGAATGCCATGGCTGTGGTAAGACTTATACTATTGTAAAAAGCTTGTAACGGTTTAGACATAGAGTTTTAGACAGAAGAACGCCCTTGATTTGGCAGCGTATTCAAGGACGTCGTTGTCAGCTCTTTGATTGAGAGAACAGAAACAGTGATTTCAGCTATACTCAAGATTCTCAAGAGTCCTGGGGATCTATACTTTTTTATCAAGCAGCACAAACCGCTGCGTTTCGTCTATGCTTCAACTCGGCGACACAGATATTTCACTTCGGCTGAGAGCATTGAAATGCACGCAGTATGGACCACTTTGGATTCGAATACTCAGAAAGAGCAATTTTCATAAGAGTAACAGGGAGGCGGCAACAATAACTTTGTGCTCGAAACGGATGCAATCAGAAGTGGGTCCAAGATCTAGCTAACCAGAGTCAAGAGATTATACCTACTCTCTGTCACTGCTCACAGAAAGTTGGATAGTAAGTGTAGGATAGGCGCACTTGAAAGCCAAGGTGTAGCCAACTCATTTGGATAAAGAAACCCTTAGTGTACCTTTCGTGACACACAAACAAGTTTAGTACAGTGCTTTTAGTGTTAACTCTAGGCGAATCTGGCCCAAATGAAAACTGAAGAGTTAGTTTTGACTTATGCTCACTCTGAGAAAATGACACTTAAAGAGTGGAGCGGCATTCAGATAGGCTTGCAGCCCTTTCCAAAATATGACGCAGGAACTGCGGAAATGATGAGAAAAGGGGGTCAATTTCCTTCTTCCTATGTAGATTTCAAAACGGACGGAGAAGGTGCCATAAGCTCAGATCGACATTCATAGCATTAAAATGCATTTATTTCAGTCTCAATGTGTCCAAGGACCACATTTGGCGACCTAAACCGTTGATGAGTTGCCAATTAGAAAATATAATAGCGTTATTTATATCTTAAGTATGTATATACGTGTATGATATACATATGAATATCTTGTATAAATAATATTCTCGTGTTACAGTGTTTAAAACCAAACTCCCATGAAACGGCTGGACCCATTTGAATGAAATTTGGAGTTTATGCAGGGTAGGTATGCGAATTGAACAACATCTTTTTTTCATATCAGGCAGTGGCCTAGAGTCTGGCCTATTCGAAGCAAACTTTGCTTATGGTATGGTACTGAAATTCTCTTCTTTTCGATTTGTGTGTCCGGAAACAACTTAATATTTTAAGGAAAAATTGTTTACTTGACTAAGGCGTACTATTACACGACAAAACGTGCTTAAGGAATTGAAGTTCGAATATGGAAACATGCTTTTGACTCATACTAAAGAGCAGAACGCGATCAAAGAAAATAATTTTTGAAATGCTTTAATTGCGAGTATAAAATCCGATGAAGTCTGCTTTGAGGATAATTAATTATTTACACGTATGTATGCAGATATAAGAACAAATAATATCTAGAAATTTTGCAAAACTGCATATTCACCAAATACACCTTAAATGTATATATATGTAAGTCTACGAATACTCTTTAGAATGTTAAATGTAAATTGAAACTAGCGGTATCGTGTGTGGTGTGCGTTATGGAGACTATGATGTCTTCACTTGTTGTTCTTTGTTTCCCTTTTTTGTTTAATTTGTTTTATTTGTTTTTCCGGTTCTGTGAATGTAGCTTTTCTTCCGCTGCTTGTGAAAATGTACACACTTGAGCAGTTGAAACGAGTTCCCCTTTGGTGACACAATTCACATGTAAGCGAGCATGAGAAACATAACATCACGTCCGCCGATTGCCATAAGTCAATTATGAATGTTTTGTGAATTGTGAAAGTTGAACACTTGGCGGCGGCATTGGATTTACCGCTTATATGCGCACTCGCACTGACACAATGCAATTGGGTATTTAAGCAAATATTGCTGGGCAATAGAAGCCCCCTCTTGTTTCACTCCAGCTTTGAAAGTTTTCGATGTAGTACCTGCCGGTGGAAGCAGAGGAAGAGGAAGACCCACTCCACTTCGTTGGAAAGACCAGGTAAAGAAGGACCAGGCAACAAAAAGAAGAAACGAATGGCGCAATGTTGTCAACTCGGCTACAAACGCGTAAGCGATGTCTGCGCCAGTAAAGTAAGTTTGTAAGTGATATAAACGCTCGCAAAGGGAGTTAAAAGTTCCTGGTAACAAAAGCTTGGCTAGTATAAGAATAGAAAAGTAGCAATTTCATACATACACATTTATTTGATTTGATTTAATTACTAACACTAACCAACTGCCGCTTGCTTTCATAAAACAAAGAAATCTAAAACATTTTATTGTCGCCATAAAAATATTAGGCGAACAACCAACTGCTGTAATCTTCGTACTTAAAGAGCGATAATACGAAATTAGTTAAATCAGCATGTTTGGAATTTATTTATTAATTGCTTATATTTTATATTTCCAATTAATAAACACTTTTTCCCACTTTCTTCTTTAACAGTCGAGTTAATGCGAGGTTGCGTTTCTGTGTAAAGCCACAACGCAAAGAAAGTGAAATTTTTTTCGTTTTTTTTTTTGTTTGTTTGTTTTTTGTTTTTGTTTTTGTTTTTTTTTTCTCATGCTGAATCACGCTATTTTCGATTTTTAATGTATTTTGCTTTATTTAGCCGCTTTGTTACAGGTAAATACACTCATTTTTAATTAAGCAGAAATTCACTCTTGTCTTTCTGCTAATTTATTTAATTGAAGGCCACATTAAGATGAAAACGAAGTACACAGCGAAAACTCCATTTCACTTTCGACGAGTCTATGTAGAAGATAAGCGACGTATTAGACATGTCCACTGTGTCGTGTCGAAAGTTGCAACAGAAGAAGATGAATGAAAAATGAAATAAATACAATACAATGAAAAAGGCAGAAGAAAAAGTTTATTGACCGTAAACGCTTTGCGGCGTCGCTTTTGTCACTTTTTCTGTATTTCGATTTTCGCCCAGCTACTCAAGCGACAAAAGAGAAAGCACAAGTGCCTGCGCACATACAAACACACCAATACTAAATGTGAAAACACACAAATAAATATATAAGGTGCAAGTAACTACCTGATCTTGTCTATGTTAAGCGGCGATTTTATAAATCTGCATGCCTTGTATGTATATATATATATATATATTATATTATATGTTATATATGTGTGTGTGTGTAATAATACTCTAAATTACTACAAATTAAAAAGTGCATAACTAAAGGACATTCGTTGAGTTCTGTGCATATTTTCTTCATTTCATCTTGAGCATTTTGAGCATTTTGTTCAAGAAGCCGCTGAGACGCTCGTCATGCCGTTCAATGAACTTGATTGTAGTTTTAAATTATGCTGCCAAGTAAATGCTTGGAGTATGTGATACGTGATATACGTATATGTATGTACATATACATATGTATGTGTGTAATCGAGTTCGTGTTTTGGGTCAATTTCCAGAAAACATAAACTATGAAGCAGTATTTTATGTAATCGCCGCGGCGATTGAATTTCACTTGCTACCCACGTCCCAAGCATTTTGAATACAAATTTCTTTTATGTAAAACTAAAGGCGATAAGGTGAGGGCAAACATTTTGCAGCCGAAATAGTTTAATTACGCATTTATTGACATCTTTTACGTAAGAGCCTACAAATTTGATGCTACGCACATTTGGAAAAGAATCTTTAAAAAATTATGATTTCTATCATAGAAATGCCAAATACACTCTCTTTCAACAAGGTCTGGTATTTTATGACTAAAGGATTTTCTTAATGCGCATGGAAATCGTGTTCTGGCATTATTTACACTGGTCAACAAATCTGAATTTTTTTCTCACATTAAAATTTTCATCAAGTTTGGAACGAATTATATTAGGGGCACCCCAAACAATGATATATCAATGTAGAAATATAAGAAAATATCAAGTTTTATTGCGACATCACAAAAAATAACTGTTTTTAGAAAATATATAAGAATCAAGACGTAGAAAAAAACTTATTTTTTACAAAAAATACTCAGGATATTCGGAAATATTTTGCCAGTATTTTTTTTTGCTCCAACCAAATTTGCCGA